GGGTTCACTTGTTATGGACACATCTTGCCTTGACACCATTGCGGGCCCTGGAAAAACTGGTTATTTATTACATTGGAACTGTAGCATAGTTAAGTTCCTGTTGAACTGAAATCTGGGATGCAACCTTAAAACCTTTATTTTGTACAAACCTCATTGAAATGGCAAAAACCAAAGTCAGTTATCTGTGAGCACTGCTTTATCTTCTCATGGAGGGCTGATGAAAAATGGAGAATAAAGTTAAAAAATACCTCCTTTTTGGCAAATTTTCACTCTTTTCTTTGTATCCTTTTATAAAAAACCCAACACTCTGGGGGCCTGTCCATTGACCACAATATTGGTCATCTTATGCTGATTATCTATTTATAACTGAGCAGTTTATAGAGTATTTTATAATATTTTAGCCTTAACAGAAAAGAAATGCAAAGCAGAACCAACCTACTTTAAATGAGTCAGACAGGGAACCTAAAGGAAAGGTCTTTGAGCTAGGAAAGAGGAAGTCATTTCAAAATTCACCTGTTTAAATTTCCATGCAATTTAAACTACCCTTAATATTGGCCAAGCTCATGAACTGTAACCTAGAAGGCAGTCAAGGAAGAGCCGTTGAATTCCCCGTTTAAAATAAGTTAGCACAGAGCCTAGGCAAGGACGGTGCATGCATGAAACCTGGGTTTCTAATGGTAAGATTTTCAAGAGTGCCTAAGCAAGTTAGGCACCTAAATACTAGTGACTGTCGGTGGCACTTCAGTGCCCAAGTTACTAAAGACCTTTTGAAAATGGTACCGTAACTTGACAAAACACAATCCTATCCCCACCCCCCCCAAACACTGCCTTTCATATTTGAGCCTGGTCTACACACAGATTTTTCTATCAGTATAACTATGTTGGTTAGAGGTATATTTTACTGAAAATAATACATACATAATCCCTAATGTGGATGCAGTTATACAGCTGTAAAGGCATCTTACACTGAACTTCCTCCCCTTCCCATACAGGAATAAGCTCTACTGGTATAAGAATCTTTATACCAATCTAGAATTGTATCCTCTAGTGGACGGGTTGTACCATTTTAAATATACAAGTTGTACATCTCAGCTATACCCGTATGTAGACAAGACAACATAAGACTATACATCACTTCAGCAGTGTTAGCCACAATAATGTCCCAAACACAGGGAATGCAAGTCAATCTGTGGTCAGAGGTTCTTAAACTTCATTGCTCCGCAATCCACTTCTGACAACAAAAATTACTACACGTCCCTTGGACAGGGGACCAAAGCCTAAGCCCTGGGCCCCAGCAAGTCTAGCCCCAGCCCTGATAATCCCAATAAAGTGTGGTCACAACCCACACTTTGAGAACTGCTAATATAATTGATATCAAAGCTATGAAGTGATTTTAGATTTTGTGTTTGCACATTTGATGAAGTTGAGGTATGCATTGCTTTTAGAGATCTGTAGGAGATGGAAGTGAAATCCCTACAGAATGTGTTACAGCATTGTAGGCAATATGCAGGTGGAAAGGAATGCACAAGTTTTGGAATAAGATCTAAATCGGCAAAGAAATCAGTGCCATTTTGGTCATTTACAGAATATAATAATTTAGGAGAATGAGCTTTGAAGTGATGCAGTAGAATTTACAAGCTAATTCTGATTTTCTGCCCATTGGGTTTCACAACATGATTTAGCATCAAGTGCATGTTTAGGTGCCTCAGGGTGGGGTTTCAAAGGTGTCTAAGTGATATAGGAGCATAAATGTAATTGGCTTCACCTACATGCAGAATCAACGAGGCTACATAAGATGTTTTTTTTCCTTTAAACAAAGTCCACATCCAGATCACTGTTAGACAAGAGAGAAAACTCCAGGGGCATTAGGGTTATTATAACAAAACACCTCAACATCCATTTTAAACAAAGTGTTTTATTAGCTTCTGTA